GTGTGTCAGAGGCAATGTGATTGGCACAGGATAGAGCAGGGTTTAGGGCTGTTTTACATAGGGTTGCTATGAGTCGCAAACGACTCGACGGCACATAACAACAACAACAACATCTTACAGGTAGGCCAACAGAGCTCTGTAAAATTTGTGTAGTTAAATGAATTTAATATAGACAGAGGGTCAATATAATTTATACATTTTGGTATTTATATTTTCAAAAAAGAAATTATTTTATATCAACCCCTTCTTTGGACTTCTTAAAGTCTTTCTAAAGGAAATGTCTTATAGACAAATTGACGAACATACTTTCAAAGGCCCTTAGATGTTTTTAGTGTTGAGTAGCAACCAACTCACTGACATGCCAGTGGTTTTCTCAGACAGTAAATCACACAGAAGAAGATTTCCCATCTTCCTTCTGAAGAGTAACTGGTAGATTAGAAGCACCAGAGACAAGACCTTTAGGTTATCAGCAGCACTAGAGCTTCCCTCTTAGGCTCAGGATCATATCAAAAGAGAATTCTTGAGAAGCTTTGTGTTTAATATTCAGATTCCTTAAAGTCATACTTTCTTTGATCAGATCATTGCTTTATTTTTTCCAACATAAAAATGTAAAAGATAAAGTAGTAGCTGTTTCTATAAAAGCAATCTTTTCTATATTTATTATTGGGTTTATGTGTATCTCTGGAAAAGTGAGTGTGCACATACAAGTACATAACATTCAAATTCTGTAAATTTGTTTTACATTTTACGCAATTGCAGTTATTATGGGTTAAACACTAACCAGTAGCTACTTAGAAACTATTTAGAATTACCTGTAGTATTGTAAACTTATGTTATTGTTGTTGTAGATTTCCATCAAGCCGAGCATGACTCATAGCGACCCTATGAACAAAAGACATGAAGCCTTTCTATAACAATTGTCGTTTCTCAAAGTTCATAGAGTTTTTAGAGGCATGTTGTTTAGGAAGTGGATGCCACTCCTGTTTCCAATTATAAACATATAATACCTGAGAAGTGTGGCATCAGGATTTGTGGAAGATCTATTAACAATCTGCGTTATGCAGATGACACAACCCTGCTTGCTGAAACTGAGGTGGACCTGAAATCCTTGCTGCAGAGGGTCAAGGACTACACCATTCACTATGGATTGAAGCTCAATGTTAAGAAGACAGAGATTCTCACCACTGGACCAATGGCAGCATCAGGATGGATGGTGAAGAGACTGAGATTGTTAACAACTTTAGTCTGCTTGGCTCCACAGTCAGCACTCTTGGCACCAGTAGCCAGGAAATAAAAAAATGTATTGCGATGGGAAAGTCTGCTGTTAGGGACCTCTCCAGGGTACTGAAGAGCAGTGGTGTCACTCTGAAGACCAAGGTTCGTCTGATACAGGCTATGGCCTTTGCAATCACTTGTTATGCATCAGAGAGTTGGACAATGACTAAGAAGGATAGAAGGAGATTTGATGCCTTTGAGCTGTGGTGCTGGAGAAAAGTATTGAATGTACCCTGGATATTCAGAAAACAAACAGATTGATCCTGGAGAGGGTTAGAACAGGCTGCTCCTTGGAGGCAAGGATTCTGAGGCTTCGTCTGACATGCTTTGGACATGTTGTAAGAAGGGAGAGGTCCTTGGAGAGGGACATCATGCTTGAGAGAGTGTAGGGATAGCGCAGGAGGGGAAGGCCCTCTATGAGGAGGATTGATTCAGTGATTGGGGTAATCAGGATGGGTGTTTCAGAGGCAGTGCGATTGGCACAGGATAGAGCAGGGCTTAGGGCTGTTGTGCATAGGGTCGCTATGAGTCGCAAGCGACTCGACAGCACATAACAACAACAACAACAACAACAACAATACCTGCTTAAATTCTTATATTCCTTAAAAATTGTACTTGTCATGTTAAAATGAGTTTGGAAAATTGTTGAATTATATAACTTGATAGCAACCTTTATTGGTATTTTTATTCAGTCTCATTCTTTTTGGATTTAATTGCTTTATTCTTGTATTCCTGCTTTCTATACCTTCTGTTATAATGTTACGCTTTGTTTTCTTGAGCTACCCTTTGAAATCTTCCGTTTGGCTCTTTGCAGTGTCTTTTCTCTTTGTTTTGGTTTCTTGATGCTCTAGTGCAATTTCCAGAATATCTTTGGCATCCATTTTGTTTGTTTTTTTTTATTTCTATTCTATTTTTCTAATGACATTTTGTTCTCTTCATGGATAATACTGCTCTGATCAAGCTACACTGAAGGCATTGACAAAAAATAGACCCCAGGAATCAGTGACATACCACTTAATGTGTTCCAAGTAACATATACAGCCTTGGATGTGCTCACTACTCTATGCTAGGAAATTTTGAGGACAGCTGCCTGGCTAAGTTACTAGAAAAGATCCATATTTGTTTCCATTCCCAAGAAAGGTGATCCAATAGAATGTGGAAATTATCACACAATTTCATTAATATCACATCCAAGCAACAGATTGCTGAAGATCATAGAAAAATACTCAAAACAATATATTGACAGGGAGGTTCAAGCTGGAAGGAGAAAAGGCCATGGCCACCAGGTTATCATTGTCCTTGTCACTTGGTTCCTGGCTGAAAGCAGAGAATGCCAGAAGAAAGTATGTGCTTCTTTAATTATACAAAGACATTTGACTGTGTGGATTGTAACAAATTATGGGTAACACCGAGAAGATCTGAAACCCAGAACACTTATATGTGCTCATATAAAACCTGCTTTGTGTGCACAACAATCTAGGTATGGGTTTTGTATGAGTACAACAAAGCAAGGGAACACTGCATGGTTTAAAATTAAGAAAGGTGTATGTCAGGATTGTATCTTTTCTCCATACCTGTTCAATCTGTATTCTGAGAAAATAATTTAAAAACATTATACTCTTAAGAAGAATGTGGTATCAGGTTTGGAAGAGAGCTCCACAACAATCTGGATTATGCAGGTCAGCTTACTGATAGTGAGGAAGACTTGACGTGCTTGGACAAATGACAAAAGACTATAGTCTTCAATATAGAATACATCTCAACATCAAGAAAACAAGAATTTTCACCACTGGACCTATAGGTAACATCATTATAGATGGAGAAAGATTGAAATGATCAATGATTTCGTCTTTCTTGAATCCACAATCAACACCATTGCTTGGTAGCAGCAGTTGGATCAAGAGACAGTGAATAGGGAAAGTCTTTAGGCATGGGCCTCTCTAAATTCTTGAGGAGCAGTGATGTCAGTTTGAAAACTGAGGTGTGCCTAATTTAATCTTTTTGATAACTTGCTATGTATCTGAGAACTGGAGTAAGGATAGCAGAAGAAGAGTCCATGCCACTGAGGTGTGATATTGGAGAACAGTACTGAATATCCAATGGACTACCAAAAGAACAAACAGATATGTCTTTGAAAAAGCCTAAACAGAATGTTCCTTTGGTATAGATGACAAAGCTTCATCCCACATACTTTAAGCAAGTTGTTAGAAGAGGCTGTTCCATGGTAAGGGACATCATGCTTGCAAAGGTTAGAGAGTTGATAAAAGAGAGAAAAACCTTCATCTAGACAGAGTGACACAGTGGCTGCAGCAGTGGACTCAAGTATGCCAAAGATGGTGAGGATGGTACAGGATAGGGCAGGGTTCAGATCTCTTCTTCATAGGCTCGCTATGAGTTATACTTGACTTGACAGCACTTAGCAGCAACAACAATAGGAGATAGAAGGAGCTCTGGTGGCTTAATGAATTATGTATTACACTGTTAACTACATATCTTGTGTTTGAGTCTACCAGCTGCTCCATGGAATACAGATGGACAGTCTTTTCCAGAAAATATTAGAGACTTGGAAACTTGATAGAAGATCATTAAGAATCAAAATCAATCTGTTGAAAGTAGACTTGGGTTTGAGTTTGGGAAAATGGAATGACAGAGATTTTGATTTTGTCTAGTATTTATTGATTTACTTGATATAGACTTCACTTATGAAATGAACTTATTTTTTATCTAGGAAAGTGATTTGAATGAAACTCTCAAGTCTCTCTATGACCAACCAGTCCCAAAGGCAAATACTCCTGTCAACTTAAGTGTGGTAAGTATTCAGTTTCTAATTGTTTTGGTGGAGAAATAACAATTTCTCTCAATTTCTCACACACCTTCAAGAATCTCTTTGTCATAATTATTATCTCTCATTTTTAAAGTTAAAGAAAACTTTAGTGTTTTTACTGATATTACTTAGTGATGTTATTGAGACTTTAGACACACTTTAACAGTCATAACTTGACACATTGACTGTGTAATTTAGTAGTTATGATAATCATATTTTTATTGTACATTATAAATAACCAAATCTGGGAGGATATTTTGGTTGTCAGATGCACTGACTTTTTAAAACCAGTAGATAATAAAGGTATATAGACACTCCTTAAAAATGAAACAATAATAACAACAACAACTTAAAACTACTTTTAGCATGCATTTGTGCAGAAGTTCTAGATTCTAATCCCTTTTCCTTTGGTTTAACACATCTTCTGATATAATTACTAAACACTGGAAAAATATATGACTGAAGTTCACAAAACAGAAAACTGGTTGTGGAGTAGAGAATTTACTATTGAAATGTTCATTGAATTATGTTATCTATATCTAAAAACACATATGTAGTTTTTGAAAATTCACAATTTTAAAAGAACTCTTTTTATTAATATTCTTAATTAATTTGGCATGCTGAGTAGCATGTTAAAATTTATTCACACTGATTTTGGTTTTTCCCAAAAGATAATGAACTACCCCCCACCCCATAAAGATGAAAAATACAAGAGAAATTTAGAGGAAAAATAACTGGACATATATGTAGCAGTATTAATAGGTCTTGTGTATTTGCTAACATAATTGTTAACCTGATTATATTTTTTCTTAGATAATAACATTATTGTTAGTTTAAGTTTCTCTCTTTTTAACAATATTTTCCTCTTATATCATTCTTTAAATTTCTACTGTCAGCACCCTACCTAAAGATCATAGTATTTTAATAATAGTCTTTACCTAGTCTTTTCTTTTTTCAGCCTTCTTGCAAAGACCTGTTAGATTAATCTTTTTTAAACTTATATATTTCTGTTCTGAAAACTCCTGTAGCTTTCCCTTTTCTATAGAATTTTCAATCTTTAGGCTGAACTTTCAGTCTAACTTTTTTATTTCCCATATCGATTTATTTTTCCTTCTTAATTTGATTGTGTATTCTGGTCAGTCATTCTGTTCACTTTCTTGAAAGCATAATCATGCTTCTCACATACCTTTAAAATCTATATCTATATATATTTTTACTAAAGTCTCTCACAGGGTGATATCTTTAAGGTTAGAACTAGCTTGTTTTTCATTTGTGTGAAACTTCCTTTTGTCTTACACCTTAAAGTGTTCTTTACGTTGAACGTCTTTACTGCTTTATGTCCCTGACTTCAGTTGTTGCCTACTGCCGAAGTAGCAATTTTGTAGTCATTTGGAAATTAGAGGCAGGAGAGCTAAGGACAGTTCTGCATTTTTAAACCTAAATTTTATAATTATCTAGTTGTAGGAATTATTGAACTGTTTCAAAGATAGAGTATATAGAGTACAGCATAGAAAGCTAGGATTCAAAGCTTTAGAATTGCCCACTCAGACAGTGTGAATGATGAAAGGATAGGCAAGGAAAGAATTAGAGGGTAGTCCAAAGATTCTTAGATCTGTGCAGTTCTTAGATTTGTGGAGCATGGAAGCCAATGTGCATGGTTATGGTTAAAGGAAATGAAGTATTAAGGCCAAGCAGAAGGATCAGGGAGAATGAACAAAAATCTTGTTTTATTTTAAAAATGAAGTAATTTATTTTTAAAGCCATTGTAACATTTTGTGGGATTTAGGAAAATGTTGGTGCTACAATAATGGGCCTCTGGTGACTTAGTGGCAAGGGGCTGTGTGGCCAACCAGAGGCATGCAATTTGAATCCACTAGTTGCTCTGATAACCTGCTGGAGGGTCAGCTATGAGTTGGTTCTGACTCGATGGCATATAACACTAAGAAGATTAATGAAGCAACTACTGTAAGCCATTAATAAGAGATATGTGTTCCTTTTACCTATTTGAGTATCATATTATGAAGATGTACATCAGTATTTTAGAAAGATATCAGATATTTAAATTATTTCATTCTTAAGAATCATAAGTCAATGGATACTAAAATTCTTAAGTACTCAGTGCATAGAAAATCCACAGGGTAGAGTAGAAAAAACAGTGAACTGGAAGATTTTAGCTTGAGTTAGTCACGGAAGTGAGTTAGGCAAGGAAGTTAAACTTTTTTTTTTTTATAATCTCTTTTCTCTGTGAAATTTAGTGAGAAGTCACCCTTTAAAGAGAGAATCCATCAGATATTTGGGGAATGCAATAAATGACAGTCATAGTATATTCATATGTTAGTGAATTGGAGTTGCTAAATCTTATTCTAGAAATATTTGCAGAATATATTTTAAATTGTTCCTCTTTAAGGAACTTGAATGATTTTTTATTTCTATATAATTTCACAAGTAAGCCTTACTTCTTCTAAATTTTTAATCCACAGCCTATATTAGCTTTTGAAGGTTGCATACCTGTTATTCAGTTCTAACATCTTAAGTTTTGGTAAAATTAGCTGAGTGATAAAATAATGTCTTATGTTTGTATACAGTTCACATAACATTTTTATGTGATCCCAACAGTAGACTACTAAAATAAGACGCCCAGTACTGCCCTGCTAATGAGTCACAAAATTGGAATTACAATTTTTATCTTCAAGAATGAATAGGTGTTTCTTGGTGCCAGATTGAATTGAAAAGTTTACCCTCCTTGCCCTACAAATGGATAGAAAATAATTCATTTTTGTTTTGGTAAAATTTTCAGTACTGGAAAAAAAGTTTTAAGTCCTAAAAAAGACTATTATGATTTTCTTACTTCATATTTCATCAATGGTCTTGCACATGAATTTTTCAATACTTGACATTATAGCCACTAGACTATCAGAGTAGATTTTATGAAAAATTAATGTGTAATGAAAATTCTTATTTTGAAGCTGTTCTAAGATAAATAGCCAAAGCATTTTATATCTTTTCAGTATTCAAATACTTTCCTTGGCTCCTTCTAGTATAAGATTTAGCAAATCAGCATTTAAGATAACATTTATAATTAATATTCACATATTTTCAGCGGACAATGTGGTTATATCATTCTGTCTCATATACACAGCAAACAATTGTGTAAACTTCCCTCATCAAAGTAAAATATTCATTTTTTTCTCTCACATACTGTAAGAACCAAGAAATATTTATTGCCAGTGAGCAAGTTCTGAAAGATCAGCCTTCCCTATTATCGGTGAGTTAAAAGGGCACTGATTGCTTAAAAAAAATCACTATTGAGTTGGGCAAGTAATCACTTCTTGCCTTTCCTTTAATATTCATTCACTCTAGTCCTTTGGGAAATGATATATTTCATTCTTTTAAAAAATTAAATCATTTGGCATATATTTTCTGTTCATAATATCTGTTAATAGTAGGTATAAATTATAGTGATATGAGAATCCTTCTAAATTATTCCCCATTTTCAGTAGCAGTGATGTTAAAATATATTAATAGTATGAAATTCCTATCACATTTTTGCTTATCAAAGAGATGAGTTTGAGAGACCTTGTGATTTATGTTCCACTACCTAGGAAAAATTATACTTATGGGCTATGTTTACTGACCTTATTCTGACTCGTTTAGATATGCTCAGTATTGACCAGAATGTTTCTTTCCAACTTTTAGCAAGTCCTTATGTGGTTAAAATGTTTGGTTTTGTAAATGAATATGAACAGAAAATAAATAAATTTTTGATAATTCAGTTGTGCTCTGATTCTGTGTGGTAAAATTTGTCAGTGTTAAGGAAAACATGACAGCATTACAAATGTAATTATTTGGTGTATGTACAACAAATGTAAAAAATTTACTTTTTTATGTATATTTACACTAATATAAAATTGCTCATTTTTCTGGTATTAATGAAAGATATTTTTAATCAAACTCTTTATTCAAAGGCAACAATTCTTCATGTTTTCTTTTTCATTGTCCAACTCTTTTAAGCATATGAGGCAATTAACATAGTGGCTTGGGTCAGACACACCTTAATCTTCAAGGTGACATCTTCACTTTGGAATAGGTTGAAGAGGTCTTTGGCAACAGGTATGCTCAATGCAGTACTTTGACATCTCAACTGCTGCTTTCATGTGCATTAATTGTGGATCCAAATAAAAGAAAATTGTTGAAAATGGAGTATTGTATTTAATATCATGTTGCTTATTGTTTAGTTGTAAGGATTATTGTTTTCATTTTGTTCTCGTAAAATCTATATACTTTTTGACTTATATTTGATTTTCATCAGCAAGAGCTTCAAGTCCTCTTACTTACCTCATAGTGATACCTGCATATTGCAAGTTGTTAATGAATCTTCTAATCCTGATTGGATTATTCTTCATGTTGTCTAGTTTATTTGCTCAGCATACAGATTGAATTTGTATGGTAAAAAGATACAGCCCTAATGGACAAGTTTATTAATTTTAAACCACACATTCTTCTTGTTCTGTTTGAGCGACTGCCTCTTGGTCTGTATGCAGATTCTGAATAGGTAAAATGACATGCTTAGGAATTCTCATTTTTTGCAATGTTATTCATAATTTGTTTCTTATCAGACTTCTTTGCATAGGCAATAAAACACAGATTAGCATCCTTCTGGTATTTTCTGCTTTCCCAAGATCTGTCTGGTAATAACAGTGATATCCCTTACTCTATTTCCTCTTCTGAATCCAGCTTGAATTTCTGCCAGTTTTCTGTCAATACTGTTGCAACTGTTTTTGAAGTATGTTTAGCAAAATTTTCTTGCTTGTAATAGTGATTATTTGTGTGCAGTTTCCACATTTTGTTGGACTATCTTTCTTTGGAATGTGCATGCATATGATTTTTTCCCAGTCATTTGGCCAAGTGAGTGTTTCCCAAATATCTTTGCATAGACAAGTGAGCATTTCTGGTGTGACATCTTTTTATTTAAACATCTCAAATGGTGTACTGTCAATTCTCTCAATCTCACTTTTTACCAATGCTTTCAATGTAGCTTAGACTTCTTCAGTATCATAGATTCTTGATTTTATGCTGCCTTCTGAAACTGTTGAATGTGAGATGATTATTTTTGGGATACTTTATTCCTTCCATCTTCTTTTGATGCATCTTGTATGTTTCAGTGATTTTCCATAGAATTGGTAAAGATAATAGAAGAACTGAGAAAGTGAAATAACAAGATTTAAAAGGGAAACTTAATATAAATTAACATAATGATATGTATAAGAATATGGATTTAGAAAACTTAAAGGAAAGACTACCCTTGGCATTTCTCAAACTGAAAGAACTGAAGGAAAAAAATGTAAACTTCAATTTTCAATACTGAAGGAGAAAGCAAAGAGGATAGGAAATAATTATTTTCATTTCACATGAGTGACTGCTCTCTTAAAAGGTTTAAAATTATTTAAAAATTATGATTTAAGGTTACTAAGAAATATAGTAGTTGATGTATAAGAGAATTGTTATAACTTTTTAATATAAAGTTAGAAATGTTACTAGATTTCTAGTGGCCAAATTATCTTACCTATGTGTTTATTATGGATATATATAACAGAATACATTGAGTAATATGATTTTTTGCCTTTTTTATAGTCTTAGTGTTCAATTTAAATAGAAATATTTTCAGTCAACAATCTACTCTTTGCATGAAAAAATTATTTTCTAAATCTCATGTAACTCTCCAATCTCATTTAAAGTTATTGAAAATTCAGCACATTCTGAGTCTATAGCGTTTCTTAATTTAGTTGTTTTTCTTCTGTTTTAATACTCATATCTTGTGATATCAAATATTTACTTCTGTCTCTCTTATGTGATGTATTTCCATTGACTAGCATTCCTACTTCATTGCCCCTGACGTGACTGGACTCCCAACAATACCTGAGAGTGTAAGTGTTCTGTTTTCTATTTGATGTACTCTGATTCTAGTTTTATTTATTTCCTCTCACTATTTAAGGATTTTTTTATGATGAGAAATCAAATATATTTTGATTGTTGAAGTTGTATGTGAGAAATAATGAATGAAGTGAAAACAGTGTTGTTTTCCTATTACTCTTTGTACCTACTCCTTTATGGCTTTTCCAGTATTTGCTTGTAGGTAAGAAATATCATATGAGGAATAAAACATTTATTGTCATTTGGGACCATGAGAAAGGGACCCATATATTCATTTAAATCCTGAGCTTTCCTTTATCAAGTAGAGGAGCTGTCTCAGCAGAGACTTCATCAGATGAGGAGTGACTACTTGTCATAGAAATTTTTACCATATAAGATAAAGATGATTATTGTTTACCATCAAGGTAGAACCCACCCATAGCTGACTCTGAGGCAGGTTTTCAGAAGCATGGGAAGAGATTGCCCATCCTTCTCCTGCTGAGCACCTGGTGGCCTTGAACCACCTCCCTTCAGGATTGCAGCGCAGCTCCTTGCCTCTAGGCCACCAGAGCTAGTCTCTCCACAGATGCTAGGATTTTTCCCCCCCAAAAGAGGATTGTCCTTTTATTAGAATTAAAATTATTCATGGATAATGATAATATTAACAAAATTATTTTTTTAAATTTTCTTCTAGTTTATTTACAGAATTTTATTACATTGTTTTCAAGAACAAATTCTTTCAATTTTCCTCATCCCCCGCTCATCAAATTGTACAACCTGATGATTCATCTCCCTTCCCCCTGCACATCCTCATCCCTCTGCTTTTACCCTCTCCTATCCCTCTTGGATCCTTATACTCATTCTACAATAATGGTTTTATACAATATTTATCCTTCTGGGACAGAGTTCATGTGGCATAATGCTCTCCAGTTCCTCCCAATTTAGGTAATAATTTGCAAAATTATTGCTCCTGCATGCTGCATAGTATTCCATTGTGTGAATGAACTATAATTTCTCAATCCATTTTTTTGTGGTTGTACATTTGGGCTATGATTTTGAAGCTCCATCTCACATACTTTAGGCGTGTGGCCATGGCTGGGAGAGAGACCGTTCCTTGGAGAAGGACATCATGTTCAGAAGGGTGGAGGGACAGTGTAGGAGAAGGAGACCCCAGATGAGATGGACTGATACAGTATCGGGGGCTGTGGGGGTTGGTGTGTTGAAATTAGTGAGACTGGCTTAGGACAGGGCAGGGTTCAGAGCTGCTGTACATAAGGTCACTGTACATTGCAGAAATATTGGGTATTTTAAATTTTATTTAAGCCTCTTCTTTAAAGACCTCGGGGAGGGCCCTTATATTTGAAAATCAGTTGTTACAATATTTTGGAGAATTATTCTTCTAAGAGGTACAGCACTCTTTTGTCACTATGCTGTACTGAGGGAACCTGGGGTTGCTGTGATGCTGAACCTTGTGCCATTGGGGTGTCAAATGATGTAATGGTTACCAATGGTAGACAGTTGTTCGGTGGAACTCTCAATTTAAGACAGGCTTGGAAGCAGAAGTGGCATCTACTTCCTAAATAGCATGCCTCTGGAAACTCTATGAATTTTTATAAATGTCAATTATTATAGAACAGCTTCAGGCCTTTTGTTCATGGGATAGCTATGAGTCCTGCTTGATTCAGCAACAGTCAACAAGAAGAACAAGATAAAGATACAGTCAGCTTAGTAACTTAGTGTACTGACCATAGTATTTTAGCTTCCTTCCATATGTTGTTGTAGTTGTTATGTGCCGTTGAGTTGCTTGCGACTCATAGCAACCTTTTGTATAACAGCCCTAAACCCTTCTCCTGTGCCAATCGCACTGCCTCTGACACACCCATCCCAATTACCCCAGTCACTGAATCAATCCACATCATAGAGGGTCTTCCCCTCCTGCGCCGTCCCTCCACCCTCCCAAGCATGATGTCCCACTCCAGGGACCTGTGCCTCCATACAACGTGTCCAAAGTATGTCAGACGAAGCCCCAGAATCCTTGGCTCCAAGGAGTAGCCCGGCTTAACCCTCTCCATATAACATTGTTCAAATTTTAGATGTCTTCTACTTAACTTCCTGATTTTAACTTAAAAGAACTCTATCTATAAGCCTTGAAAGATGCTATAGTTAATTATAAGAGTTGTCTAATTTTACATTTTACTTAGAGTCCCAATTGAAGCCTTGCTAGGAATGTTTTCTCTATTTTGATAATTACTAAATATTTACGTTCTTTAGTAAAGTTTGTATGGTTAAGTGGAAACAACAAAATATGTTTGTATGCTTTGCATAGCAATGTGAAAAGAAAAGGTAACTATATTTTATGTATCTTCATATTTCCTTGGAAAGTTAAATGAGCTAGTGGAAGTAATTTAGTCAAATGAATTGAAAAGCAACAGACAAAAACCCTGCAGATATGTTTATTTTTTTCCTCAGATTTCTACTGTTTTTTAAAACATTTCTTCAAGGGGAGCTCTGGTGGTCTAGTGGAAAGGAGCTGCAACTACAATCCCAGAGGCGCACGGTTCAAATCCACCAGATGCTCTGCCGGGAAAGGAGGGACAATCTCCTCCT